AGTTTCAACAATTTGATGATGATGTGTCTTAGTGTGGTTTTCTTTGTATTTATTTTGCTTATGATTTACTGAGCTTCTTGGATCTATAGTTTAAAGCTCTTAACCAAATTTGAAAATTTTTTACCATTATTTCTTCAGATATTTTATCTGCTCTATTCCATCTTTTCTCTTCTCTGGGACTCCAATTTTATATATGTTAGACTGCTTGAAATTGTCCCACATGTCCCTGAAGCTGTCTTTTTTTTTTTAGCTGAGCCATCCTGCCACCTGTTGACAGCTCAACGGCTGCTCAGCTCGGGCCAGGACTTGAACCGCTGTTGCTCAGAGCTCAAACTCTTGAGCAAGCTCTTAACCAACTGAGCCACTCGGCCAGCCCTGAAGCTGTCTTTTTAAAAAAACTTTTTCTCCCTAGATTTGAGGAAAATTCACACACACACTTTAAGCCTTTCTTCTATATGGCTTCCTCCATTCTGTAATATCTCCCTTCAATTTCCAGGTGTTATGGTAGCCCCAAACAGGTTTCTTTCACACCTTAACTCATTAAGACCATGGCTTTCTGCTGGAGTGTCAGCCCCCTTTGCTATATCGACTGGGTAGTGCCCTTATTGGAAAGATGGTATAAATTTGGAATGCATTTCAGTTTCTATCTGCTTTTTATTGCTTTACAATGTCCTTTAGTAGTTTGTCTGTTTTACTTTTGTCCAGAGTTTTAAAATATTATCTGTGGGAGGATTAATATGGTACAATCTACTCCATCACTATTGGAAATTGAACTCTTCCTTCCTGTGTTCTTAAACTTAGTAACTATTTATTCAACATTCACCTTGTCTTCAAATTTAGAGACTCCAGTGTCTGCAACTCAAAATAACCAGTCCCTAGATCCTAATAATGCTGTTTCAGATATGCTTCCTGAATCTAATGACTCCTAACTTCCTTAGAGCTACTGCTTTGCGAGGTCTGACAATTAAGTTTGTGGACTTGCCACTGTGTGCTTACATATGAAACATCTTGGTAAGGTTTCATAACCTTGGTATATCAATGTCTCACAGCTGTGTTTTTGTCGAGGTATGGCGGTGTCTTGCTGAAGGGCATTCATTATTATTGTTGCGTGTTTTTGTGTGCCATCATGAGAATATCTGAACTTGAATTAGAGCAACAAACAAACATTAAATTTCTTGTTAAACTTGGCAAGAATGGAAGTGAAATCAGGAATATGTTAGTCCAAGTTTATGGGGGTAATGCCATGAAGAAAACGGCAGTGTACAAATAGATTAAATGTTTTTCTGAGGGGAGATAACAAGTCACTGATGAAGAGAGGTCAGGGTGGCCAGTAGCGAGCAGAACTTGTTGCAATGACGAAAACATTGCAAAAATTTGGCGAATTGTGGGTGAAAATCATCGGCTGACTATGAGAAACATAGCAGACCAAGTAAACATTGATAGAGAAACAGGAAAATCCTAACTGAAAATCTTGGCATAAGAAAGGTATGTGCAAAAATGGTCCCAAAGGAGCTAACCGATGAACAAAAGCAAACGAGAGTCAAGGTTTGCCAAGGCCTTTTGGAGAGGCAAGATGATGTTTTGGACCATGTTGTCACTGGTGATGAAACATGGGTGTACCCATACAACCCTGAAATAAAGTGTCAAAGTGCACAATGGAAGTCAGCCAATTCTCCATGACCAAAAAAGCTCTGTAAGTCCAAATCAAGAGTCAAAACGATGTTGCTAAACTTTTTTGGTATCAGAGAGATTATTCATTATGAATTTGTACCAATTGGACAAACAATTAACCATGTTTTCTATTTGGAAGTGCTGAAAAGCCTACATGAAAAAGTTAGATGAAAGTGACCTGAGCTTTTCGGCAGCAATTCATGACTCTTGTATCACACTGGCACTGTATGTGAGGGAGTTTTTAACCAGTAAACAAATAACTGTTGGAACACCCTCCCAACTCACTTGATCTGGCCCCAATGACTTCTTTCTTTACCTGAAGATAAAGGAAATATTGAAAGGAAGACATGTTGATGACATTCAGGACATAAAGCGTAATACAACTACAACTCTGATGACCATTCCAGAAAAAGAGTTCCAAAGTGCTTTGAAGGGTGGACTAGGTGCTGGCATCAGTGCATAGCTTCCCAAGGGGAGTACTTCAGAGGTGACCACAGTGATATTCAGCAATGAGGTATGTAGCACTTTTTCCAGGATGAGTTCATGAGCTTAATTGTCAGACCTCATAGATTAGGTCCTTGTTTAACTGGTCTTACTTGCCTCTTAACCTCAGTCACTTCCCATATCGCTTGAGCTTTCTTCCTAAAAAACATTTCTTATTATGTTGATCACTTGTTTCAAGACTTCTCTAGGCTCCAGCACGATTAAATCTCCTTGGTTTGGTCTATGAACCACTCACAATGCAGTCTTTGTCCTGCTATTGCTCTACATAGAAACTATGCTTCTGATACGTTAAGCTTTTCTCTGTTCCTTGGACATAATAGAACTTTCCATTTTTTTGTGATTTTGTACTTCATATCCTGACTACTTGGGCCATTAATTTGCATTTGACTTTTCTACGTTTAGTCTTAAAATTCGATTCAAATACCACCTCTTCTGGAAAGTCTTCCCTGGATAGGCTACCTCTTCCTTGGATAGGTTACATCTCTCTTCTATATTCCTACAGCACTTATAAATTTGTTTATTGACTTGGTCCATCTATCTATCTATCTATCTATCTATCTATCTATCTATCATCTATCTATCATCTATCTAATCTCCTGTTTCCCTCAGTAGATTCTAATCTCTTTGTTCAAGGTGTTGTGTCTTTCAGTATGGTTTTTGGTATCTGTAACATTGTACATCCTGTGTAGATTCTCAATGTATATTTTTGTTGATGATGATATTACAAAAAATATTTCCCAGCAATGGTACTCAAAGTAACAATTTTATATATGGAAATTAAAGGCCACAGACCACAAAGGAGAAACTAATCAGCCAGTTCACATACTATTCTGTTATTTATTGTTTCTTTAGGAAAATCTGCAGCCCCATCAAGCACCCCTACAGGGTTATGCAGCAATGGTGGAACCTGGCAAAATGGCAGATGCATTTGTCCGGATTTGTGGACAGGACTGAGATGTACAAGGGGTAAGTTTCTTGGGATAATACTAAGGTGTGAGTTTTAGGAGACTCTTGTGTTAGTAAGGACAGCAGCAAAGCTTCTCAAATCTTTTGTTAATGATTCTAGTAACAATGGGCATAATGATGATGGCTGTAAGATGTATTTATCAGCTCAGTAGCAACAGCTGAGTTTTCTTTTTGGGCTATTTACCTGTGTGTTCAATAAACCTTGTCTATTTCCCAACTATCGCGTTTCTCTGTATATTCATCATTGTTTTTCCTTCTGGATGCAGTGTCTAATATAGGGTAATTAGTGATATGGTTTTCTTAGGTCCTTTCAATTGGTAATATGCCATAATACTCTATTTCCAATATCACAGTTCTAACATAGTTAACTCTTGAAATCAAGATGCATCTTCCTAACCAAGTATATACTTAGATGAAGTTTTTGTCTTTTCTTCCTTTCCCTTGAAGAGATGTTATCTAGTTATCTATTCAATCAATGGTATTTCAGAATCAAAGTTCAAAGCCAGTTCATGACCTACAGTGTGCTTCTCAACATTCTGAAAGCTTCATGCTGCCTGCTTAGGACCCAGAGCCCCAGAAGCACACTCTTATCATTTCCTGTACTCCTACCAGTCAGAATACCCGCATACCCATGACTTTGAACTTTTTTACTTTAATCCCCATCCTCATAATGCCCCTTGGCACAGTAGGCTCTAAAACTTTAATTTTCAAGATTTCAACTAATCTGATACACTATCCTTGCTGATGTGTTAGTAATCACATCCCACCTCTACCAAGTAATTTAATCAGATAAGAAAGTATGAAGTTCCTGGTGAGTCCTATAACCCTCCAAGTGATACTGGAAAAGTTTTGAACTGTGACTTTTATCTGGTTTGGAATTTTAAAAAAGAAAATATAATTTATGATGAAAAACTTTTTTTCTTTTCATTATAGCTAATTTCTGTGAAAACAGTACCTATGGAGATTTTACTTTTGACAAAATTGCAGTGGGAAGATATGGGCCTTCCTTGCAAAAATGCGGCGTGAACACTGTAAATGGTATGTGCTTTTCCAAACATCTCCTCTGTTTAGGCATATAAGTCATTATGCTGGGTGATACCTATCATCCCCCCAACTAGTATTAGGTCCCTGGAAGAAGCATCAAGGAAGGTTTTGTGGAAGGGTTTGGCTCCTTTTCATGATGCCAACATTGAAAGTTTAGGGTGCTACCTCACATAATTCTAATTTTCCTGAAGATATTAATATGAGATAGTTATAAATTCCTTTTAATACTTCTTTGATTGGTTTATTTTTCCAGCTTACTCTATCTCCTGGAATTTGATCAGGTTTACACCTTCTCTTTAAGTTACATAATTTGTCTCAATTTAAAAAATTAGCTAAACTGTGGACTTACACCATATCTATTTTCAGGCTTCATATTTCTAGGTAGAGTTGCACAATTAAGTCTGTCCTCAGCTGGGAGTTCTTCTTCTCCTTGGTCATTTTTAGCTATTCATCTTGGAACATTCTCTATCTTCATCATACTTTTCTTGAAACATGACAATCTTACTTGCATAGAGGCATTCCAGGAATAAAGGAGCAAATAATATTTTCTATTTCTAGTACACTCCCTGATGATATCCAGGATTTTGGTGTTTTATTCTATTTCAATGGCACATTGGGTAACATCTTCTGAGAGTCGCCTTTAGAAATTCATAGATCCCTTTCCTGACAGCTTAAAGCCCATTAAGCCATATGATTTTTCCTAAATGTTTACGTGTCCTTTACTTGCACTGATTTTCGTCTGATCAGTTCTTCTAACTCTCATATCTTCCTGCAGGTTATCATCCATGTCCTGTAGAACCGAATACAGTAAAACCTTGGATTGTGAGTAATGTGGTTTGCGAGTGTTCCTCAAGATGAGCAAGCATTTCTAATACATTTTAACTTGATAAATAAGCAATGCCTTGAAATATGCGTAGTTTGTTTCTGTAATGAATTATGCCCGCAAACCAAGGTATTACTGTACCTCAATAACACAGCCAATTCTAGATCATTTATGAAAACTTTTGATAGGACTCCTGTTAGTAATGACCCTGGGGACAATTTCACATTTTATTTAGATATTTATTTTTGTTTATGTCAAGAGCCCTTTGAAACACTAAATAAATTACATGTACTGCTCTTCCCTATGTGCTTTTTTACCTTATTTATTCTAAGCGATTACATAGATTGGCAATCCATTTGCAGAATCCAAATTGCCTCTGCCCACATACATCATTCTTACTTATGTATTTTTAATACTACTCTTCACATATGTACTTCCAGCCTCTTGATTTAAAGCTCAGAAGGTAAAAAGGGGGCTTTATCTGTATTGGTACTTACTTCTTATACTTGTATGGTATGTCCATGGGTATCCATTATCTTAATTTTTATATCTTTTGTATGTCTTAAGTATTTCATAATAATTTATAAAACATATAGAGCTACAAACAAACAAACAAACAAACAAACAAACAAACAACTGTGTGTTACTGAACCAGGGAGAGTAAAAATGTCAGCAATATACCCTTCAAGGGCCATCAGACTTGTTTGATGTATATTTTTTGGGGGGCAGGAGGATAAGAGAATCACTATCTTTCAACTGGTTATTTATTTTATTTTCTGAGCAACTATTATGAACATATTTATAATATGTACCCTTACATTTCAGATTAAGCCCATAAGATAACTTTAAATGTATAGATTTCAACTACTGGCAAATTTGCTTTTAGTTTTATGTTAAGAATTACTTCTAATTATTCAACTTTATACAGCAAATGATCAAAATACTTCTCAATGATTTTGAGTAGGTAAATATAGAGGAAAAGATGCATTTCAAATACGGCTGCTTAAAAAATAAAATCCTATATATATGTTTGAAATTTCCATTATGTAATAGTAGAGAGGTGGAGCCATCGTATAAGTTCACAAGAATTTAACCTTCTACTTTAAGTGTTGTAGAAGCAATCTCTAATTTCAGTGTTTCTAGTTGTTCCTCCAAAAGGAGCTGCCCAAAGCTGGACCTGAGGAAAGTTTGATCTTCTGATCAGCGAACCCTCTAACGACAGCTGGAGATGATTTCATCTATTAGCTGCTTCTTAACTATTAGCCATAGGAGGAGACTGAGTAAAGGAGGCTCAGGTGACAATCCTAGGAAATAAACCCAATGATTCAACAAGTGTTTACTGAGAGCCAAACAAGTATCAAATTTGCACTGCAATATGATAGAGCTCTTTGTCTTTTAGGTGTTACCCACATTTGAATAATAGAAGAAAGATCAACTTATGATTCAATATCTAGTAGGAATTTTCATATTGTTTCTGTTCACTCAGTCTAGTATTCCCTCCTCATATCCAATCCAAAGTCCTGTCCTTTGTTTTTGGAAGGCAAATCTTTCTTGCAGACTTCAAAGGAAGGAACTAGTCAATTGGTCTTTTGAATTCCAGACTTGAAAATCCAGACAAGTGGCACCTGCCTAAAATATTTTATTTTTTAAAGATTTTATTGGGGAATTCGGGAAGGGAACAGTGTTGGGGAATCGGGGAAGGGGGAACAGACAAGTTTCTGTCCTTTTGTTCTTCAGTCTAGTTGTGGAGGACGTCATTTCACTGGCCCATGTTGGTATTGTGATCATTGCGTTCTTCCCGGCTGAGGCAGTAGGTTGCCCACCATTGTTCAGCAGCCCACTGCAGCCTACGGGGTTGCTGGTTACTCACAGCAGCCCAGCTCCAGGTCGAGCTGTTGTTCACCATCTTAGCTGAAGAGGGTGCAGAGTCACTGGCCCATGTGGGATCTGAACCAGCAGACCTGCTGCTCAGAGCTCACACTCCCAAGCCAACTCTTAACCAATGAGCCACTCTGCTGGCCTTAAAATATTCTTGTAGTAACTGCCTGATTCACTTTTCTACTGTTGTATATCAAACCACCTTAAACATAGTGTCTTTAAACAATAACAATTTATTAGGTTGGTGCAAAAGTAATTACAGCTTTTGTCATCATTTGTAATGGCAAAAACCACAATTATGTTTGCACTGACCTACTGTATTTGCCGGCGTATAAGACGACTGGGCGTATAAGACGACCCCCTAACATTTCCACTCAAAATACAGAGTTTGTTATATANTTTCTGTCCTTTTGTTCTTCAGTCTAGTTGTGGAGGACATCGCTTCACTGGCCCATGTTGGTATTGTGATCATTGCGTTCTTCCCGGCTGAGGCAGTAGGTCGCCCACCATTGTTCAGCAGCCCACTGCAGCCTATGGGGTTGCTGGTTACTCACAGCAGCCCAGCTCCAGGTCGAGCTGTTGTTCACTATCTTAGCTGAAGAGGGTGCAGAGTCACTGGTCCATGTGGGATCTGAACCAGCAGAACTGCTGCTCAGAGCTTGCACTCCCAAGCCAACTCTTAACCAATGAGCCACTCTGCAGGCCTTAAAATATTCTTGTAGTAACTGTCTGATTCACTTTTCTACTGCTGTATATCAAACCACCTTAAACATAGTGTCTTTAAACAATAACGATTTATTAGGTTGGTGCAAAAGTAATTGCAGCTTTTGTCATCATTTGTAATGGCAAAAACCACAATTATGTTTGCACTGACCTAATAGATTTTCAGTTTTGTGGGTTGATTGTGGCAACTGGACTTTGCTGGAAGGCCAAAAAATTATCTCACTCACATGAGGCATTGGTGCTGGCTGTTGGCTTGAGGGCCTTAGTTGTCCTCTGTGTGGCCTCTCATCCTCCAGTAGATTAGACCTGCTTCCTTATGTGACAATCTCAGGACAGCATTCCAAGAGGGTAAAGGCTCAAATGCCAAGGCTTCTTGAGGTCTAGGTATGGGATTCACACAACATCATTTCTACAACATTCTGTTGCTCAAAGCAAGTTATAAGGCCAGCCTAAGTTAAGGAGATGGAGGAACAGACTCTACTTTTGATAGGAGGAGCAGCAAAATCACACTGTGAAAGAGACATGTACAGAGGAACAGGCAGTTACTGTGGCCATCTTTGCAAACACTGTCTTTTATTTTTTTGTTTTTATTAAAGCGGGCAGTCCAAGAGCAACCCGGCTGTGCACTCTTACTGAAAATGGAGAGATCGAATTACAAAATGCGACAATAGGAAATTGCAGTGCAAACCTGCAAACCCTGGAAGATGAGGTATGCCGTATGGATCACGTGATGGGCAACTCGGAAAAACCTGATGGCTCAATCAATGCTTTTTAAAACTCTCCAATTAGAAATAACAAAAACTAGTACTCAAATCATTTTTTTTTAAGTTGACATCTGTTTGTGAAAAAGGACAGTTAGACATGTTGGTTTGGTAAATTTCAGTATTATCATGAACTATGACCAAAGACTTTTTGAGGCAGGAAACTCCAGAACCTCATGGTAGCCTCAAGGCTGTATCCATCAGCAGGTGAAATAGGAAGTACATCTGAGTAGATATTTTTTCATGCAGATTAAGTTATTTTGACTAAGGATATACCCAAATACAAATACATGGAATTGCTAACACCTGGGGCCAAACAAGGGGACGAAGAGAAAACTTATCTTTATGTGGTCCTTCTAGGTGCTGAGCTTGTTACATATGTTATCTCATTTAGT